AGATGCAGGAGAAACATCACAAGATAACTCTTCTAGAACATGGCCATAGAGCCCAAAAAACCTACAACAACCCAATACATTCAATGGCCTTCAGGAAGTAAACATTCACTCTGTAAAGTTATTTCACTCATCAACAATGACAGCTGTATCAGTTTCTTAAGTTCATACTGAACTATTATTGGACATACTTATTTTGATTTAAATAAGAAAAGAGAAAAAAACATGCTTTAAACACTGCTGTACAACTGGGATACAAAGTACTTTATGACTTCATAAATATATGAAAGAGAAGGACAACCATAAAGATCTGACTTAATCTAAACTGAAGCAAAAAAGAGTAAACATAAGAGCACATATTAACTTCTACCATATGAATTTTAAAATTGTAATTTTTAATCTTGCAGCTATGACTACAAGATACAATGCCTCATGCAGCTCCACTTACCAAAGGCATACACAGAAAGTAAAAAAGTTCCAATCTTTATTGGTTACAGATGTTAAAAGATTGGACAGGCCCAAGATCATATTCACACATCAGTTGACCTATTTGCCATCCAATAGAAACCAACTTACCCAACTCATGGGATGGCATATCAGTGAGAATAACGAAAATCCACCCGCACCCCAGATAGGGCTGACCCTGTTGCCTGAATCCCTAAGGGCTTTTAGGGGAAAATTTGTGATTTTTATGGACATTTTGTAGAAAATGTTGTGTTATTTTAAGATAATTTGGATTGCTACTCTGGAGATTAAGGTTCAACTCAACCATGGTTGCCTACTTAATAACCTTGGTCAAATCATACTATCTCAGTCTATGAAGAAGGGATACCCCCGCCTGACAAATGGTGAAAAGTTTGAAGGGATTTAAAGAAGAATGGTGGTTGACAGTTGCTCTGGCAGTTGGCAGTAGATGAACCAGTTTGATGTAAGGATTATGGTTAAAAGAGTCAGTCAGATTTAGGAATTGATAAATTGGGTATTTGTAGAGAAGTACCATTCAAGTACCAGATATAACTAGGGGTTTTGCCTCTGGAGAAAAGAAGAAAGAGAAACCAACAAGGACAATTTTGTTCTTTATTTGAGCTTAGAGCAGTCAATTATTGCTGCTATTGTGGTTTTATACTGTTTTAATGTTCATTTTGTATTTTGTTGTTATGTGTACTGACTTGTAAACCGTCTTGAGTCGCCGATAAGGCTGAGAAAGGTGGTATAAGTATAGTAAATAAATAAATAAATAAAAATGTGAGAGAATGGAATATTTGTTTTTACATGTATTAAATTATTAATCTGTTTTGTTTGTTTATCTACAGCTAACAAGGTACAGACAGTCCCCAAGTTACAAACATCTGACTTACAAATGACTCATAGTTAAGAACAGGGGTGAGACAACAGGAAGTAAGAGGAAATCTGCCCCTAAGAAGGGAAATTCACTGCTGGATGAGTTATTCTGGGGAAAAGGTGTCTTCACTGAAGCTTTACATCACCTTGTTTCTACAACAAGCCAAATATTTCAAAATTTAATTCTCACAGAGACAGAAAGTGAGGTGAAATCTTCTGAACAGGGGCAGACAGAAAAACAAACACTACATGATGTTAATCCTTCCCTATGATATCCATATATATATATATATATATATAGCTGGAGGTACATTTAAAATGTACTTGTTCCAACAAATTCAACTTAAGAACAAACCTACAGAACCTATCTTGTTTGTAGCTTGGGGACTGCCTGTGTAGCTATAGCATGTGTGTTGTATAGCATACACCTTTTATCTCTGGGAACATGGGATGGGTTCAGACATGATATCAACATGATGGAAGCAAGGGATAAAATGTGCAGGTGTCCAGTAAGGAACTTTGTAGACATATAATAGGTCCCCATTGTTAGTGGCCACAGCAGTCAAATAGGTGGAGGTCCCTTATAGTGGCAGCAGAGGTGGGGACAAGAGTAAGCCTTATACCCCACCTGTTGGCAATAATGAGATTGTGGAAGTCTTCACATATGGTGGTAGTGGTGATTTAGATAGAACTTTACATATGGTCGTAGGAGTGGTAAAATAAGGGTCTCACAGTGCCTCCCCATGGAAATACTGATGAGCATACAGATCACATATTTTTCCCAATTGGATATCATTGGGAAATTATTGTTTCCATTAGATGTTTTGTCTTATGTCTGTTATAACAGGCTGTGCTTTTTATTTAATCTTAGTTTGTGCTGTATAAATTTTGTTTGGAATCCACCCTGAGTCCCTTTGGGGAGATAGAGTGGAATATAAATAAAGCATTATTATTATTATTATTATTATTCGTTCCATGATAAAATCATACCAGGTTTTGGTAAATGTATGTTTATGAGTTGCAATAAAGTGAGGGGGCAAAGCACCTGATCTGACTGGTGGAGGTTGCATTGGAAATTAACCTATAAGCCCAGTAATGAACATAAGGCTGTGTCCTGGATTCTTAGGCCTAACTTAGCATCTGATAGGTAGGTTTGCTTGCACTTCTCCAAGCCTGTGGAAATTACATGGATATCTGGGAACAGGAAATCTCCAGCACTAAAGAAGATGGAGCCTATTCACTCTGCAACTGGCACCACACACACACACACACACACAAATTTGACGAGTGCTATTTTCATGATTGTTCCCTTCAATAATAAAACAGATGTTCAGTTGTGAAATTCTTAAATATTCTTCCCAGGTGCAGGCATTCAAATATTGAAAATTCTCTTTTTATGGCCCCAAGACCACATAAACTTCTCTTGAAAAAAGTTATATACTGATATGAAAGTTGCATGGAGTATAGAAGATGCACGGTATGTTAAGTATAACACATCATATTAAAATATTTTTTAAGGAACATGAATCTCCCCTTAACACACTGGGATCATTTGTGAGCTATAATGTCCCATATTAAAAAGGGCAAGATGTGGCTGGCAATGAAGTGCCTGCTTCTGATATTACTGAGCAACCAGGCTTAAAACTCTGGCAGTTTTAACTTTTTAGAGTCATTCCGTTTTCCACCGCAGTCATTTAAAACAATTCTTTACAAAATGGATTTTGGCTGCAGGCTGTAGAATTTGACAGTAATAGCAGTCTTTGGGAGGATGAGGCTGGCATGTTCTCCAATAATGAGCCTACTGGGAACCTAGAATCCATATTTTTCACCTCTCACTCACCTGCAACTCCAAAGGCAAATCTTCTTTCCTGTTCCATACCCAAAGAAATCTGATGATTACTGAATGAGATATATCACACACACACACACACACACACACAGAGAGAGAGAGAGAACACCTGTGTGCTTGGATTACAGACTAACAAGAAAAAGAGATGGCTCTAATTTGTATAGGGTCATAGGAGTGGATCAAACCAAATACTTCCAATCCACTAACTCACTCACTTTGGTGGCAGGAGATTTGCTTGCTGACCAAACATGCCTATAAGGGATCTTTCAACCTTAGCAATTTTTTGAGAAGACTAGAGTCAATAAACTAGCACACATAGCTATCTTTTTGAATCAATATATACAGAATTATTGCATTGGGACATAACAATATGGTATATGGGTTACAACACATAACACTACTAGCTAATGCAACACAGTTTCTGTAGCAAAGGAAAATGAACTCAAGCAAAACTCACTATCCTGAGAAGATTGCAAGACACACATGCTATCATGGGAGCGTGTGCAAGGAGTAACAGACTACATCTTGAGAAACTGGGAGCAGTAAAGAAAAGAAGATAGAAAACTAACAAAATTAGTTAACCAACAACATAATAGGACTAAGCTAATGAAATTTTCTGGCTAGAATCCCAGAATTGGGGGGGGGGGGGCTCTTACACAGTTTCAAAATACACTTGGTTGGGAGGAGAGGAATTATAATTGCATTTTTGACCAACAACAGAAAGGTACATCACTGCCTGAAAATGTGATTTCATGTCCAAATGTGATTTCATGTCAAAAGYGCTGGGGACAGTCACTCACATCATATAATTTAAATCAGTTCTGACACCCCCAATGGTGGCAATTAATGGAGTCACCTTTCTCATTTCTCAAGGATTTAGTTAAATTTGGGATTTAACTCTATTTTGAGTCAAACAGTATTAATGTGTTTCCATGTTGAACACATACACATCTACACATCTTGTCAGAGATATCTGAAGCAATAGCAACATTCTTTCAATATCTTTCAATGACAATAGCAGGAATTCTTTGTAACATTTTCTCCTGCCTTTCCTTTTTGTATCTTTAAGGAATTATTATTTTACTATTTGGTAAAGATGTCTGAAAGCTTTGCCAGAAAAAAAATCTACTTTGCTGATAGCCACTGCCATTTCCATTCAATTCTGCTTTTGCAATAGGGTTGGGGATCAGTGATCCCTAAGATGTTGCTGTACTCCAAATGCCTATAAGCCCCAGCCAGCATGATTACTGATCATGGGAGGTCACAGATCCTCCCCTACCTCCAGAGTACAAAGATATTGGGGCCCTTTTTGCCAACACTTTCTGCTGCCTACATTCTTCCTTTGTTAATCTTTGTCTAAAATGCCACAAACACAGCCCTAGTTTGGTGAATGTCAAACACCATGTTTGTGGCCAGCTCCCTTCTCATTATTACATTGCAGAGATATGACACTGTATTCCAGAGATCTGACCACAATACAATAAAACAGGAAAATCAGTACCACAGAAGGGACAGCATGAAACAGAAACTTCATTTTTGTTTCAACCAATCTCCCATTCCACAGGATTGTTAAAACAACTGGAATCTATGGATAATATCTAAAACAACAACAATAAAATGCACACCTTGAAAACATCTGTAAACTTGTGTGCTAGAAGGCAGTCACAACCAAATTTAAAAAATAAAAATAAAAATATCCTATACTTAATATATATTTAAGTTGACCCCTGAGAAATAGAAAAGCACTATAATAATATTGCTCTGGTTTTATTCTACTCGCAAAGCACTTGCTGTTAGAACCAAAACAGCTTACCTGCACATTTTGTTCTTGTTGTGAGTGGAGGCCCAGGAGGTCCGGTTCCTCCTTCTCCAGGACGAGTAAGAAGCACTCTGATCTCATATTCCACATCTGGGTCCAAATGCCATAACTTGTAATTGGGTGAATCAACAATGTGGGTTTCAGCCCAGTTCCCATTGGTTGTACGATATTCCACCTCTTTCAGGATAATAGGCCCATCACCAATAATAGAGTTGGCATTTGGTTTGATCCACAGATATGTGGCTCCAACTGCTAGAAGTTCAGGGGGTGCAATAGGAGTGGGAGGTTCTGCAAAAAAAGAAAAAAAGAAGAGATTCATGATTTCTAGTTTCTTTCATTGTATAGAGTTTTTTCAGAAGTAGCAAACCATGTTTAAATGGATTCAAACAATGGATTCAAATGGATTCCTATTATCCATGAGGCAACTTTTAAGACATTTATTCAGACTTTTCATCCACTAGTACATTAATTAATAGTGTTTTATTTAGAAGAGTTCTTAAAAACATTTTTAAAAGAAATGGGGGCACTCTGTCTCATTCACTTTTCTTTCTTCCTCAGAGATCGGACAAACATAGTTCTTCAAATGTTGCATGTTTAGTGATTTCTCACCATGGACTGTACTGCAGTCATTAATGGCAGCTGTAGTTCAGTAACTATTTAAGTTTGTTTGTTTAGTGGGTTTGGTCAGCAATTGTTCTGATCAATAATTTTGGTGTAATTGTATCTGTGTTAGTGGCAGTGGTGTCACAGCAACAGAGGTTTTAAAAAGTGAAATTGTTACAGGCTCAGCAAAGCATGGGAAAGCACTGCCAGGCATCTTCATTCCCATCCACATAGAAGGCTATAGGTTCCTGAGCAGCTTATTTTCACAAGTGAATGAAAAGTATCTGAAAATCACAGTTGGGGAGAAATCTATGCAGTTCAGGACTTATTCTGTGGGGGAAATGCATATATGCCTTTTTGGACTGAAATAGGGGTGTGCATTTCAGGTAAACCCTGTTCTATGTATTGTCGAAGGCTTTCATGGCTCGAATCACTGGGTTGTTGTAGGTTTTTCTGACTGTATGGCCATGTTCTAGAAGCATTCTCTCCTGACATTCTACCTGCATCTATAGCAAGCATCCTCAAAGGTTGTGAAGTCTGTTGGAAACTAGGAAAATTGGGTTTATATTTCTGTGGAATGTCCAGAGTGGGAGAAAGAACTTTTGTCTGTTGGAGCTAGGTATGAATGTTTCAACTGGTTACCTTGATTAACATTTGATGGCCTGACAGTTTTTAGGTGTGGCTTGTTAGTGCCTGGGGAAATGATTTGTTGAGAGGTGACTTGCTGTCCCCGATTGTTTCTTGTCTGTTCTGTTTTTGGAGTCTGGTTTTTGGGTACTCCCATTCCATTTTTTGTGAGCTGCCCAAATTCACGAGTGCAAAATGCCATTTTTTGACCCAACAACACGACAGTCAATTTTCACACCAGGAAGATCCAGCCCACTGGCAGCTTTGAGTCCCCCCAGGGATGAGAAAGGCGGTATATAAATACTGTAAATAAATAAACAAATAAATAAGATTGGGGAAATTCCTAGACTTCCTTTTCCATCATTTTTAGGGCTATTGGGACAAAAATGGTCAAACTTGGTGGACACATTTACCACTGTAAGCCCACCAAGTTTTAGAATGTTTGGATCATCCACTGATTTTTAGGAAATTATTTCTAGAAATAAAATCTCCCTTAAAAAAACCCAAAAAGGAATCCAGTGGGAATATCTGATTGAGATTCAGTAGTACCGCTCTCTCTCCCTCTCACTCTGACTTTAGTTCTCCTGAAAACTTGGCCACTTCACCCAGCAGTACTATACCATGGCCTCATCTTCCTCCTCCTTCTTCTGTATATATATGTATATGTATCTTTATATGTATTTGTATGTTTATATTTATATTTATTAGTGTGTGTGTGTGTGTGTGTGTGTGTGTGTGTGTGTGTGTATATATATATATATATATATATATATATATATATATATATATGGGGGAGGGGAATGGGCTCAGGCTTCTTGTGTGAGAGAAGGAGCACACACACACAGAAACCACAACAAAAATACAAGAGTCAACAAGATGAACAACAAACAACTTACAGGGAATCAAGGGAGTCAGGCTATTCTCCCCCTTCAATAAACCACCCCAATATTTAAACAAACCTTTTCAAAATCACCCCCCAACCCACATCCATCCTCCCTTCCCCAGATATTTTGGGGGTTTTTTAAAAAGAAAGACTGAATGATATTAAACTAAGAACATTTAATTAAATTGCCAAAGGTAAAGAATTGAGGCAAAACACAATTCAAAGAAGCAACTGCACTTAGAGCTAGCTAGCACACAATCTCTCTCTCTCTCTCTCAACAGCCAGGATACCACAGGAAAAAAGAGGCACTCGCCCGAGTATTAATAGACCACCTTGGTGAAAAGACACGTGAATGGCTTTCTTCTTCTGATTGGCGCAGGCAACAGGGCTAACAGAGAATCCCATGTGAGTGCATGGTTGCTGCTCCGCACTCCACATGTAGCCATAAGAAATGGAAAAACAAGTGTTTTCAGCTGTTGTGTGTTTTGTTGTGGCAAAAAAACAGCCCATGGCTGTGCCACCCATGCTGTCATGGGCGAACCAGAGCCTAAAAATGCTAAATCATCCAGAGCCCATTTTGAACAGTGGAACAGTGTACAGCCCTAGACTGAAAGCTGTTTTCTGAGGAGAAAACTTTTCATTGCAGAAAACAATGAAGGAAAAGCAGAGTGAATTGTGGGTGGTACAACCATCTTCCCCTTCCCAACAAATAAAAAAAAATGTGATCAATGGGAATTGGTGACACAGAAGCATGTGGCAATGGAATCGTGCAAGGACATTTGTATCTTATGCTTAGCATTATTTTACAGCAAAAATCCATGAATTTTGCTGTAAAATTCATTATGAATATAAATATAAATAATTGAGCCACAATTTTTGTGTTCTTTCTGCTCACCTATTCAATAGCCTATAATCAGTTACAGGATATAAATCTGTGAATCTAATAAACTATTCATGTGTATGTAATGAAACAGTGCTGATGTGGGATGTGGGTGCCATCCAACATTATACTGAATTACATATCCCAGCATTCCTTATCACAGCCTATGCTGCTTAGGACTACCTGGGTTCAAGATGAATAGCAACTGGATGGATGCATGATTCAGTTCCATAGAATAATATAATTCAAGTGACCAAGCAGCAATAGTAGTATGCTATCAAAACAGAAACAGCATCGTTTGGGATGTCACACATTGACATTTATGATTGCATGATAAAGTCAATCCAAAGTTTACTCAGCCAAGAGTAATCACTGTTACAGAATATTTTGATGTACATTTATCTTAAATCCTACTACATTTTATAAGGTTAACAACTATGAGAAACATCACATATAGTACATTCATTTATATATGTTCCAGAATGCCCTCATATATGTCACAAGGGGTACTGTAACATGATTACAAAATAGGATGCAATATTGGAAGCATCATGCTGAGACACAATATTCTTACTGAATGACAGTGACTCAAACTAAACTGGTGTACAAATCTAGTACACTTGATTTCACTTTCTTTTTTTGCTTGCATAATAGCATTAGGTATTGGGTCATTCAGAACAGGGTGACACCAAAGGGCGGCACGGCATGCTAGCCTCAGGTTCTTCTTCATCGCTCTACATGTTTGGAGAATGCCAATCCCAATAGCAGAGTCTCCTCTGCCCTCTGAAGCTCTCCATATAACCAGGACTTTTCAGGTTTATAGATCACATAACCCCACAAATAATGGAAGCTCTTTCCAGTTGAGAAGACTGATGGTGGTAGTGCTTATGTATGGGTGCAGAAAACCCTGCTTGAGTCATTGTTATGGGGGATAGAGCTATAATGGGAGTAAAATAGCTGTTGTAAGAGAAGAAGCATATCCTGCATATGACTGTCTGAACAAAGGAATTTATTCTAAATATTATCATTCTGATTAGATGTGACATTTGCTTCAATCAGCACAGTTGTCATTTAAAATGCCTGAGATCAGGCAACTCTCTTTGAATTATTTATGCATGCTTTACATTTGATGACCAAAGAAATAATAGCAAAAGCATATAGAAGTTCATTGTGCAAGGAGGGAATGGAGATAGGAAGCATATATTAACTAAGAATCTCTAGAGAACAGGACTATAATAAGTATGCTAAGTAAGCTATATGCATATTCAGATAATTAGTCCAGAAAAAAGAGAGTGCTGTTTACATAAGGTTACACTCTCCTATGCCTACACACAAAGATAATGAATATAAATAATTGAGCCACAGAAAATGATAATGAGGATTCAGTGTTTTTTAAACGAGTAACCAGGAAGTGGCAATGCCAATTTTAATGTCTCTGTGGAATCCTACTATAGTAGATAGTCTCTGACTCAAGACAATAATAACTGAAACAGAAGTAGAGTAGGAGCCATATTGAACTACATGAGGATGAAGCAAAATAATATGTTATCTCCCTTTCAACAGTTTTCCCTAATTATTAATTGAAATAATTAGGCAGATGACAAGGAAGTAGCAAGGTAGAATTGGTATGGTTCCTCAAGAATAATCTAATTCAATCCTTCATCAATATTGGAATCCACATTTAAAGCAAGGAACCATCCAAGCCTCCATGAACCATCACCCCAAACCATCATTAGAATGATGAATTTATTTCTAGTGTTTATTCAGGGGCATCATTATGCTTCTAACGAAGACGTTGAGAGAACTGTGGGAAGCTGGTTGCAGGAACAGAGTGTCAACTTCTTCTGTGCCAGCTTCAGAAAATTTATTCATTGTTGGCAGAAATTTATCCAATTGTCTGGTCATTATGTGGAAAAGTGAATAGTGGTAGTTAAAGAGCACATTCTAAGGATTATTTCTGCATTTGATTTATTAAAATATCCCCATCCAAACCCAAGTAACGAAGGTGGAGGCATTACTTTTCATTCAACCCTCGTAGAATGTGGCAGAGACCAGATTAAATTCACAGGTGATATGGAAAGAATAAGAGTAAAATAATTTTGATGGAATAAATGTTTTCATCTGAATAGGCAGACTTCTAGAACTTCCAGATTTTTTTATTTTATGCATACTTAAAGTGCATGCTCTTAAAATTATTAATTCAAAAAACGTGAAAGAACAGAACTTAAATTATAAATATGTACAGCTGTTTTTATTTACAGATGATGGCTTCAAGTAGATGAAAACGCGTGAAAG